GCTGCGAGAGCTCTCTCGCAGCGCTGCAAGAGCTCCACCTCTCCGAGGGGAATAGCTTGCAGCGCTGCGAGCGAGCGTGCAGCGCTGCAGGCACTGATTACACTGGCGCTTTACAGCGCTGCGCTCGGGGGGGGGGGTATTTTTTAACACCCCTGAGCACAGCAAGTGCAGCGCTGTGAATTGCCAGTGTAGCCAAGGCCTAAGTCTCTAAGGTGCCACAAGTACTCCTGTTCTTTTTTCAGGAATAAACTAATTACCTGAAAAAAAAAATGATAGGGATGTGGTGGAAGGTGTTAATGGTGGCCAAAGATGGGAGCTTAGGAAGGAGTAACAGGAGGCCAAAGAATACAAACAAAATAAGTTTTGCTTGTTTAACACAGGCTGTCCATGCTTGACTTTGCTTTTAGTCTTCTTTAGCTCTATCTCATGGGTTATTTTAAAATACTGTTTGATGGTCACTTGTTATTGGAAATAGACACTGTGAAGATTAAAGGTGAAAATGACTCTTGGATGAAACCTGAAAAAATTTCAAAGTGATCTAAAGGTTTATCTTGAATAGGGTGACCAGATCACCCAAGTCAAATATCAGGACGCGGGAGGGGCATGGGGGGGGAGGGGGGAAACAAAAAACAAAAACAAAAAACACCCTTCCTCCACAAGCACTGGAGGGAGGCCCGGAGACGCAGAGGAAGCGCGGGGCCGGGGTGAGTGAGAGTCCGGCCTGGCCTCGAGCAGGCAGGACTCAGTTGGGCAGTAGGGAGAGTAGGGGGGCGGCCCGCGGGGCCAGGCGGCGGCTGTTCTCCCCCCGGGGGCAGTGGGACTCGGGAGCAGCCACAGCTGCCGAGGTTGGCCATCGGCCGCTTCCTCCCCCCGCGGCAGTAGGAGCTGCAGCAGCGGCTGCTCCCGAGTCCCACCGCCTGGGCGGGGAGAACAGCCGCTGCCTGGCCCCGCAGGCCACCCCCCTACTCTCCCTACCACCCGACTGAGTCCTGCCTGCTCGGGGCCAGGCCGGACTCTTACTCACCCCGGCCCCGCGCTTCCCCTGCGTCTCCCGGGCCTCCCTCCAGCGCTTGTGGAAGGAGGAGGAATGGTGAGCCTGGGGAAGAGGCGGGGATTCAGGGAGGGAGCCAATCGGGGGAGGAGGGGGCGGAGTCAAGGCAGGGGCGGGGCACGAGCACTTCTGGGCTCCGGAGCATTTCCTTGTTTGTCCAGTGTCCCGACCGCACATCGGTCGGGATGCGGGACAAACAAGGAAATATCGGGACAGTCCCGATAAAATCGGGACGTCTGGTCACCCTAATCTTGAATAGGATTTAAAGGTGCGATGTTAGATAATATTAGCCCTAGTAAAATCCTAGGCAAGACAAGATAGATTGTACTTTAGTACCTGCTAACCTAATCAAGTTAAATCGCAAGGAGGTGCCTAGGGTTTAACTTGAATAGTCTAAGGGCTTGTCTACGCTGGCCATGTTACAGCGTTGCTGCTTTAACGTGGCTTGTGTAGTCATAGCACAGTGCTGGAAGAGAGCTCTCCCAGTGTTCTAAAAAAAACAACTCCACAAGGGGTGTAGGTCCCAGTGATGGGAGCACGGCTCCCAGCGCTGGTACACTGTCTACACTGGCATGTTACAGCACTGAAACTTGCAGCGCTCAGGGGGGTGTTTTTTCACACCCATGTCTACACTGGCTCTTTACAGAGCTGCAACTTTCTCGCTCAGGGGTGTGAAAAAACACGCTCCTGAGCGCTGCAAGTTTCAGCGCTGTAAAGTGGCAGTGTAGACAGTGCACCAGTGCTGGGAGCTACTCCCCTCATTGAGGTGGATTTTTTACAGCACTTTAACGTTGCTAGTGAAGACATAGCCTAATATGAACTGGAAAGTACAACATGCCTTGTCTTGACTGGAGTTTTTGAAGTGTGTTAGTTAGATCAACATCACACTTTTAAATCCTACTCAAGACAAGGACTAAATGACTAGGATCAGTTCAACCAAATCTGGGTCTCCCAATTCAAGGCCCCCGCTTCATTGCACTCCCCTCCCTCACCCCAACCTGCTTTGCTTTGCCAGTTCTTGGGATGTGGAGGTATGAAACACAAGTAATTTGTTCAGAACTGGTGTGTGTGTTTGTGGTAAGAGAGTTAGAGGAATAGTGGAGGGAGGAGGTTTTCTGTTAAACAGCAGGAGGGAAGTCAAGTATCAGGGAGTAGCTGTGTTAAGGGACAAGTAGGAAGGACATCCTAATTCTCCCCAGGGATATCAAATTATCAAAGCAAAGCTCTCAGCCCTTATGAAGATGTCACACTCCATGCCATGTGGCACTAGCCCATGAGGCGTTTACATACACAAGAGTTTCATCTTATCCCTAATAGGGTAGGTCCCCATGACAAAGAGGGTCATATAAAGGATAAGATGGATTGGTCCTAAAGGGCTGCATGCTTGAATTTTTTTCACTAGCTCTGTAGAGGCAATTTTCTCTGTCAGAATGAACCTAAAGCCCTAATCAGAACTGGAGTTGTGCTAAGCACTATACAATCCCACAGGAAGACATTGTTCCTACAGTGAAACATAGAAGGGAAAAAAGGAAAAACAGACAAAGGGTGGGAGGAAGGACTGGCACATAGAAACCGTGAGATCAGGGTGATGGCAGGTTTGTCTTAATTCCATTTTCTCCGTATGTTCGGTTTTTATCTTACTATATCACTGCCCTTAACTATGTCTTTACAGTCACCTGTTTTGTAATTTTATAAAATAATATTACCTCACCATGCCTATTCCCTTTCTACTTTGGCCTCTTTTCGCATTTTAACACCCACTTTACTAACAGAATCTGCTTCATTCACCTTCCAGACCTTTGCTTATGTTACAGTTTAACCCCCTGCAATATTCTGCACAATTGTGTCGATCCAGTTCCGTGATTTGGGGAATTGGGGTGGCATTTCTGGCCTCCTTGAACGCCTCCAGCCCCGCCCCGCCCCGCGGCGAAAGCCCGCTGTCCTCTGCGAGGCCTTCCCCGGGGCGGCGCCCGGAGCTCGCGCTCTCGGTGAGCTCCCACCCGCGCCCATCCCAGCCCCACGTCGGGCCGCAGTCCGGCTGCAAACGCTTCCCGGGAGGCCCCGCTGTATGCAGGCGGGTAGCCCACAAGCACAGCCTCGCTCATGCGCTTAACGCTCGGCGGGTCCCGACCCACTACGTCACCGCAGGACCCTACAGCTCGCGGGGCTCAGAACCAGGCCCGGCGCCAGCCCGAGCCCCCGACACGCTGGAACAAGAGAAGCACGCCCAGCCCTGACCGCTAAGGGCAGGCGCTTCATGGGCCCAGTGCCCACGCGCAATGGCCCGCGCCGTCCGCACATGCTCAGTAGCAGAAAGCCCGCTCCCCCCCCCCCCCCTTGGAGGAAGGGCACCGTTGTGGCATGACAAGGGAGCGGGCGGGGAGGCCGCCGAGTAGCGCCCCTCCCCCCACGTCGCCATGCCGCTGGAAAGCTTAGCTCGCATCATCAAAGTGCAGCTGCCTGCCTACCTCAAGCGCCTGCCCTTGCCCGAGAGCATCAGCGGCTTCATCAGGCTGACAGGTACCCCGGGCTAGGCCCCCTCTGCTAGCGCCGCCAGGATCCAGCCTTCCCCTATTCCCTCCCCTCCTCCCGCCCCCTCACCTCTCGGCCTTGCCCTCAGCCTATTCCTTCCTCTCCCCCACTTCCCCGGCGTCCCCCACCGCATCCCTTCCCTTCCCAGCGCCCCATCCAGTTCCTGTGCCATCACCTCTCGGCCTTTCCCCAGCCCCTCAGCCTATTCCTTCCTCTCCCCCACCTCATCCCTTCCCCTCCCAGCGCCTCATCCAATTCCTGTGCCATCACCTCTCAGCCTTCCCCCCGCCCCTCAGCCTATTCCTTCCTCTCCCCCACCTCATCCCTTCCCCTCCCAGCGC